CCTGTGAAGTTGGCGCCTTGATGCAGGTACCACGAAGATGGAGCTGGAGCGATGGCGCCACAGGTAAGTAACACTGGCCTCCGCCAGTCTCTCTCCCACTCTACGATCTACTACCTACCAGCGCCCAGCGCTGAAGACTACAGCTACAGCTATGGCGCCCAGCGCCGAAGACTACAGCTAGCTCTACCACTACTGCCTAGCGCTGAAGACTACTGCAGCGCTCCACCTGAGTGCTGCGGCCGAATCCTGAAGACTACCTCCGCCTACTGACACTACCCTACCCGTGAAGTGCATGGGAACCTCCTATGTACTACGGGTGTGCCTCTTGAGTCTGCCGAAGGGAGGCAGGGGCTGCAGCTGCAGCTCCTGCTCGAGTGCGTGAGGAACAGGCTATTTTGGGCCTGTTCCGCATCCCTGTTTCCGTGCCTGAGTCTTAGGAGCAGGTCGAAACAACGAGGGCCTGAAAATGGCCCTCCATTTCAGGCTGAAAACTCTGGGTCTGAAAAGACCCAGAAATAGGCTGAAACGAGGTAGGGCCTGCAGGCCCTCGTTTTTCAGCATCCAGGCTGAAATGAACGGGGCCTGTAAGCCCTAAGTTTTAGGCTTTTAGGCTGAATGTCCGGGACGGGCCCTGTAGGGCCCGTGTGGCTACGCAGTATGCCACACCTTCCTGCGTCCAGTCCAGGAAGCTTCCGGTAGGCCCCGGTAGGCACAGGCCCAGTCACGAAGAGAGCAGGCCTTGGGCCTGAAGTGGTTGCATGTGCCCAACTGCTTTCGGCCTGTGTTTGGCCTGGTACCCGTATCCAGCCCAGGGCCTGCTTCACATTCATGTACACAGGCGGCCCAGGGCCTGGATTCATTCAACCAACTGGCGCAACGCAACTGCCTGAATTTCCCCGATGCGGGGTACCCTGAAGAATGAGGCCCGAAGGGCCTGTCGTGCCTGCCTTCACTTAGGGCGGCCGACCTTGTTGCAGATAGGGCCCCGTAGGGGCTAAGCGGGCAAAGCCTCGCAGGCGCTACACAGTCCTCGCACTCAAATTCCGCTCAGACTGCTTTCGGGCAACGCCCGATACTCAATTTATCTTCCCCCATCAGGCTGTTCCTGCAGTGTGGGAACGTGCGACCTTCATCGCGCGGACCTAGATCCCAATTCCCGTTCTCTATTCACGTCATCTAATTTGTCATTTCATGCACACATGTTTATCATTCATCCGACTCCCAATAGAGATTGGATCTTCCAACCAGGTGCATAATACTGCATATTCAGTTCAGTAATTTCCACTGTGGTAATTCCGACCTCGTTTGTTGTCTGCTTGCAGCTCCACGAGTCCATAGGCTGCACGCTGTCCCAGATTCCCGCACAACATTTTTCTGTAGTTCCTGAGGTAAGTCTTTCAGATCCTTCAGTCTCATACCATCATGTCGGCAATCCTATACCATTGGCTTCCCCGTTCCTTTGACAACCCCGCACAACCATTCTTCTGAAGATCCTGAGGTAAGCATTGCTGGTCCTTCAGTCTAAGACCGTCATGGAACCTGTACTGTTGGCCTTCCCCATACAATTTTGGAAAACTTCAAAAAAGGTACAAGTACCCAGAGCCCGCCAGTTAGCACCCAGCTATGACCAACACCCCTTCTTCCTCGCTACCACCACAGCAGCTTCCCCATGGTCGCTGCACTCTTCCTCCAGCGCAACAGCTCCCACACTTGCAGCATCTGCCCGAATGTCCTGGACTGCCCGGCCTCTCGTCCTTTTGTCCTTTCTCCAGAAGCTACAGGCAGAACCAGCATGCAGGAGGCCACGGGCAGACCCAGCGTGAAAAACACTGGGCCTTGTGGGCTGTGGCCAGGGCACAGCTGCTGCAACCAACCAGGTAGTTGAGTGTGTCGGTTCGTTACAGGCGCTGGCCTGCATTTTGCCCTGGGGCCCTCATGCCACTTTTGCATAGGGCTGGCAGGGCCTTTTTTCCCTTGTCCAAGGGGCCTAGATCCTCACACGCCAGATTTGCAGACATGACGAACTTTGAGGTGCACCAGAGCGAACTGTTCCAGAGACTGCAACCCCTCGGCCTTTGGACCATACGGAGAAGAAGGTGCCGGGAGACAATAGATGGAAAGCATGAGCCAGTGCAGCAGGCTTCGGAACAGTTCCTCCACCTGCTGGAAGCTGAGTACTGGGCTGATTCGAATGCAGTAAGAAGACAGATGGAAAGAAACCCAGACAGGGCAAAGGTCCAACAAGAGATGTACACCAAGCTCTTGGGCCAAGGTCGAATAGGCAGATCACAGGGAAATAGGCTCAGCCTTAGGTGGTCGGGAAGATCGGGAGGACTCAGCACAACTGAGGAGGATGCACCCTCTAGCGAAAAGGGAATCGTCGACCGAGGAGATCTGCAGAATGGGACCAACAAGAAGTCTGCATTCCAACAGGAGGACTGAGATCAGCCCAGGCCCGGCTGGGCGGAGGGGATCAGCGTGTCTCAGATAGTCCGCACGATCCACCCCCCCAGGGTCTCCTGGAGGATTCAGTGTTGTGTGGCAACATGGGTGGAGGCTGCCGGCAGCAGGGAACGGGTCTGCATATTATTAGCGGGGCGGCTCGCCTCGCCGGAGCTTGGATACTATAGCCTCTCTCTCTCTCTCTCTCTCTCTCTCTCTCTCTCTCTCTCTCTCTCTCTCTCTCTCTCTTGCATGCACACGTGGGGTTCTTCCTTTTCTGAAAAAAAAAATAAAAAAGGGGTCCCGATGGACCACAGGTCCAGTATGAAACTTATCGGAACACATACCCCACTTGGTGTTGTTTGTGTGGGGGGGGAGGCCACAGGAGTTGGTTAGATGGTCTCTCTCTCTCTCTCTCTCTCTCTCTCTCTCTCTCTCTCTCTCTCTCTCTCTCTCTCTCTCTCT